TAAAAACGCTAATTAATCTTGATTGATTTCATTCACTTTTGCTTTCCTGAAATGCCATGTTTTTATTTATCACTTATTATGTTTAAAACGACTAAAAAATAAAACTGTATTTGAAATGACTTGGTAGAAGGTTTTTGATGTGAATTTATAGTTGTCAAGAAGAACCATACAAGTAAAGACAAAAACAAGAGCTGAAGGGATGGTGAATGCCCTGCGATATTTTTTACAGTCAAACAACAACAAAATAAAAATGCTTTAAAAGTCTGTTTCGTCATCGTTTTTATTGCCAGCAAATAACTGCCGTTATGCTTCTTTTTGGCAAGTATAACTCCCGTTACTTATTTACAGTATTCAACTTTTTCAATCTATCATCTAAACTCTATTTTCTCGTTTTCATGTTTTTAAGCTGAAAGTGGACGACTACAAGTGTTGGCGGTCGGTGTTGCTGCTTCTGCTTCTGCGGCATTGAAGCATCTCACTGTAAAATCTATGGCTATTTTTGAAACATTGTACCGTGTGTGCTACACCTACTGCTGATGTTAATTCTAACCGCCGCTGTTGTGAATTTTTCTGAAATCGACGTCTTTGTTTGTTTCTGACACCACAATTGTTTTCGTTCTGTACGCAAAGTTTCTTTGATCATTCTTGTACATTTGATTTAAATTGGGATAAATTGCCAACGGAAAGCACAGCTTCTTTGCTAGAATGCCCGTAATGTAGGCGTCTTCAATGGGCAGCGCGGGAATGGTGTCTGTCGTTGGCCTGCTGGTGACCGTTTCGTACATAGCCAGCGTGGCATTCCCCGGTATCAGGTTCATACTCGGGGCGTAGGCAGGGTAGAATTTGTACGGGTAGTACCACCGGTCGATGGCCCATTTACCAGTGCGCTGAACTTTACTGTAGAACTTTTTGAAACCATAAAGTTTGTCAGGCGAAAATGACTTTAGCTGATTGATAAAGTTGTCCACTCTAATGTAGCAGTCATAATCGAATTTGAATATAAATTTTGCTTTTGAGCAGTGCAGCGCCGACCAGCGCAACACTGCCAGGGATTTCAGCGTCAGATTGAAGTAGTCGTCCTTGAAGTCAAACTGCAGAATGTCGTCGTGCTGGCTAGCTTCCTTATCAAGAGCATTTTCCAGTCTGTCGTTAAGAAAAAGATTATGAATTTTTTATTTTGAATTAGACGATAAATAACGTTACGTTATTGGCTAGACACTTACAAAACATTGTTCACTCGGCTGACCACAAAGTACATCACCGTTTGGGGGTGTGCCTTCAGCTCTGACCCGTAGGTCTCTCGTATTGTCTGTCGCCGACTGAAATCCTTGATCTGACAGAAAACGAAGACAGCCGCAAGCAGGCCTTGACCTTTTTTGCCACCACAAGGCTGGCTCACCTTGACTCGCTCCGGTAGGGTCACCGTCCGTATCTCCAAAACTGAGTGCATCTTTGGCCCTGATGGAACATGCTTACTGCTTTTTCTGACACCAACAGGAACAAACGGATGAATGAATGGCTGTTCCACGTACAGCGACGACATGTCCTTTAACTGCTG